CAAAAGACACCATTTGGCAAACTGGATTAAAAAGGAAGATCCAACAATCTGCTGCTTACAGGAGAACAATCTCATTCACTGAAACAAGCACTGGTTGAAGGTGAAAGACTGGAAGAAGATTTACCAAGCCAATGGTCCCTGAAAACAGGCAGGAATAGCAATACTTATCTGAGACAAAGTAGACTTCAAACTTACATTAATCAAACGAGTTAAAGAAGGACATTCCATACTAATAAAAGAGGAAATACACTAAAAGTAAATAACAATTATCAACCTATATGCACCCAACATCAATGCACCCAATTTCATCAAACATACTCTGAAGGACTCCAACACAGTGGTAGTGGGAGACTTTAATACCCCCCTATCACCAATAGATGGGTCATCCAAACAAAAATCAATAAAGAAATTCTAGAACTAAATCACATCAGAGATCAAATGGACCTACCTGATGTCTACAGGATACTTCATCCAAATTCTGCACAATATACATTCTTTCAGCAGCTCACAGAAACATCTACAAAATTGATCATATCTTAGGGCACAAAGCAAGCCTCAGCAAACATAAGAAAATATAAATAATCCCATGAAATCTATATGATAATAATGCATTAAAACTAGAAATCAACAAAAGCAACAGTAAAAAACATGCACACAATTGGAAGCTTAACAACACATTGCTCAATGATAAACAGGTCAGTGATGAAATAAAAAAAGAAATTAAAAGGTTCCTGGAAGTTAATGAAAATGAAAACATGACCTACTGGAACCTATGGGACACAACAAAGGAAGTCCTAAGAGGAAAGTTTATAGCCATGAGTACATATATTAAAAGTCAGAAAGATCTCAAATCAATGACCTAATGCTACATATCAAACTACTAGAAGAAAAAAAAAACAAGCAAAACCCAAAACAAGCAGAAGGAGAGAAAAACTAAAAATAAGGTTTGAAATTAATTAATTAGAAAAAAACATACAAAAATCAATGAAACAAAAAGCTGGTTCTTTGAAAAAATAAATAAGATTGACAGACCTTTGACAAACCTAGCTAAAATGAGGAGAGAAAAAACCCAAACCAGTAAAATCAGAAATGCAGAAGGGGAGATAACAACAAACACCATGGAAATCCAGGAAGTCATCAGGGACTACTTTGAGTACCTATATTCTAATAAATTTGAAAATCTTGAAGAATTGGACAGATTTCTAGATACTTACAACCATCCAAATCTGAACCAAGAGTATATTTATCACCTGAATAGATCTATAACACAAATTGAAATTGAAGCAGCAATAAAAAGTCTCCCAAAAAAATAAAAGTCCAGGACCTGATGGATTATCTGCTGAATTCTTTCAGACCCTTAAAGAAGAACTAATACCAACTCTCCTTAAACTGTTCCATAAAATACAAAGGGAAGGAATACTACCTAACTCATTTTATGAAGCCAATATTACTTTCATCCCAAAACCAGACAAAGACACCTCCTAAAAGGAGAAATAGACCAATTTTCTTAATGAACATTGATGCAAAAATCCTCAAAAAAATAATGGCAAACTGAATCCAACAAACACACCAGAAAGATCATCCACCATGACCAAGTTGGCTTCATCCAGAGATGCAAGTGTTGTTCAACATAAGCAAATCTATAAATGTCATACAGCACATTAATAGAAGCAGAGACAAAACCACTTGATCATCTCAATAAGTGCAGAAAAAGTCTTTGATAAGATCCAACACCACTTCATGATAAAAGCTCTATGAAAACTAGGAATAGAAGGAAAGTACTTCAACAATTATAAAGGATTTATATAACAAACCTACAGCCAATATTATGCTTAATGATGAAAAACTGAAATCATTTCCCCTAAAATAAGGAACAAGATAAGGATGCCCACTATTCCCACTCCTACTCAACATAATCCTGGAATTCCTAGCCAGAGCAATTGGCAAGAAGAAGAAATAAAAGGAATACAAACAGGGAAAGAAACTGTTAACATATCCCAATTTGCAGATGACATGATCCTATATCTTAAAGACCCAAAAAACTCTACCCAAAAACTCCTAGACACCATAAACAGTTATAGTAAGGTGCCAGGATACAAAATCAACTTACAAAAATCATGTGCTTTTCTATACACCAACAATGAACAAACTGAGAAGGATTATTTGGAAATAATTCCATCTACAATAGCCTCAAAAAAAATCAAATACCTAGGAGTAAACTTAACAAAGGATGTGAATGACCTCTACAAGGAGAATTACAAACTCCTGAAGAAAGAGATCGAGGAAGACTACAGAAGGTGGAAAGATCTCCCGTGCTCATGGATTGGTAGAATCAACTTAGTAAAAATGGCTATCCTACCAAAAGCAATCAACATGTGTAACGCAATTCCTATCAAAAACTGGATGACTTTCATCACAGAGATTGAAAAATCTACCCTAAAGTTCATTTGGAAGCACAAGAGACCTTGAATAGCCAAGGCAATGCTCAGCAAAAAGAGCAATGCTGGAGGTATCACAATACTCGACTTCAAACTACATTACAAAGCAGTAACAATAAAAACAACATGGTACTGACACAAAAACAGACATGAAGACCAGTGGAACAGAATAGAGTACCCACATATGAATCCACACAACTATACTCACCTTATTTTTGACAAAGGGGCCAAAAATATACGATGGAGAAAAGGCAGCCTCTTCAACAAATTGTTGCTGTGAAAAGTGGTTATCCATCTGCAAGAAACTGAAACTACATCCATGTTTGTCACCCTATACTAGTACCAACTCAAAATGGATCAAGGACCTTAATATCTGTCTTGAAACTGAAGTTACTACAGGAAGAAGCAGGAAACACTCTGGAACTAACAGATATAGGCAAGGACTTCCTCAGTAGAACCCCAGCAGCCCAGCAATTATAAGAAAGAATGGGCAAATGGGACTTCATAAAATTAAAAAGCTTCTGCACAACAAAAGAAATGGTCTGTAAACTGAAGAGACCACCCACAAAGTGGGAAAAAATATTTGCCAGCTATACATCAGACTAATAACCAGAATATACAGGAAACTTAAGAAAATAAACTCTTCCAAAATCAGTGAACCAATAAAAAAAATGAGCAACTGAACTAAACAGAACTTTCTCAAAAGAAGAAATTGAAATGGCCAAAAGCATATGAAAAAATGCTCACCATCTCTACCCATAAAAGAAATGCAAATCAAAACCACACTAAGATTCCACCTCACTCCTGTTAGAATAGCCATCATCAAAAACACCACCAACAACAGGTTTTGTTGAGGATATGCAGAAAAAAGCACCCTTGTACACTGCTGGTAAGAATGCAAGCTAGTGCAACCACTCTGGAAAAAAAGTTGGAGGAGTCTTAAAAATCTAAACATAGATATATCTGCCAAATTGTCCAGCAATCCTGGGGATATACCCAAAGGAATGCAACACAGGTTACTCCAGAGGCACCTGCACACCCATGTTTATTGCAACACTATTCACAATAGCCAAGTTATGGAAACAACCAAGATGTCCCACTACTGACGAATGGATCAAGAAAATGTGGTATTTATACACAACGGCGTTTTACTCAGCCATGAAGAAGAATGAAATCTTATTCTCAAGTAAATGGATGGAACTGGGGAACATCATTCTGAGCAAGGTCAGCCAGGCTCAGAAGACCAAAAATCGTATGTTCTCCCTCATATGCTGTCTTTAGATCTAGGGCAAATATAGCAATGTGGTTGGACTTGGGTCACATGACAATGGGAGAGCACATACGGAAGGTATGGGTATAGGTAGGAAACCCAAAACATGAAAGTGTTTGATGTCCCCACTCCAGAGGAACTAATGCAGAAACCTTAAAGCGACAGAGGTCAACACGAGAAGGGGATTAGGAACCAGTGTAAAGATCAGTTAAAGATGAATCAACTTGAGTTGTAACACATTTGTACATGGAAGCAATGCTAGGAATCTCTCTGTATAGCTATCCTTAACTCAACTAGCAAAAATGCCTTGTCTTATTATGCTTATGTTTTCTCTTCAACAAAATTAGAGATAAGTGCAGAACAGGATCTGCCTGGGAGCGAGGGGGCAAAGGGGGAGAGGATGGGGGTGGGAGACGGGGGTAGAAACAACCCAAACAATATATGCACATATGAATCAATGAATTTAAAAAATCACCAAAAATATATATATCAATAAAAATAATAACTTAAGTCTCCACAAAAAATCATCTCTATACTTGAATTCTAGGATTTTTTTTGTGGTACTGGGATTTGAACTCAGGACTTTGGGCTTGCAAAACAGATAGCTCTAGTGGTTGAGCCAGATCTCCAATCCTATATTGTAATTCTAAATATCAACTTTATAAAACTTCAAATATGAAAATGGTAATATTAAAATAACCTTTGAATTCATGTCAATTCTTCAATTTCCCCTAGAAAACTAAAAATTTATATGATTCATGCCATCAAGCAGTATAATAATTATATTTAAGTAAAAATTTTGCATGAAAATGTGTTTTATATTTCTATAGGAAAATATTCTTCTGGTCGGTTAAACCACTTCATTTTTTCCATTTTCAAAAAAAATTAGTGTTTTAAGTTTGTACCTACCAACAATTATGACAATGTCAATCCTTTATATATCAAGAACACACATATATGTATATGCATATATGATTCCTACATATACCATGTATATCAAGTATATGCATATATGATGTAATTAATAATTCTACTACAATGATTTATATGTAAATTTGTTACTGAATTAAAAATTCACAGTTAAAAATAATAGACAATAATAGAATTATCCTTTGAAGGGCACAACTTTATTAAAACAATTCACATTAAATGTAGTGTGCTCGTCAGGCTCTCCATCACTGTGATGGAACTTGACATAAACAACTTAAGGGAGGAATACATTTATTTTGGTTCCTGGTTGTGGACATTGCAGTCCTTCATGCTGGGGGTGGAGGGGGTATGATGAGGCTCACCTCCTGGCGGCCAGGAAGCAGAGGGAGCAAATGTCTGTGCTGATGCTCACTGATTTCCTCCTTCTTCCTCTTCGATTCCACTGGGACTCCCATCCTATGGGATGAAGGTGCCACCCACTTTGGGGATGTGTCCTTCTCCTTTAGTTAATCCTGTTTGGAAACACTGCACAGACACCCCAGAAGTGTGCTTTACTAATCCCTTAGGCACCTCTCAACCCAATCAAGTTGATAATCAAAATTAACCATCATACATGGCATCTGTGCTGCATGATAAACAGCACTTCTAACAGCTTAGATTGAAGAATGGACCCAATAGGCTCTACAAATAAATAACCATATTCAATAATGAATGAGCTAAAGAATAATATGCATTAATGCCTTTGAAAGCCTTAAATAGATTAATTCTCCCCAGACGGGAAGCATGCTTACCCAAACTCAAAAGAATTTAGGTATTTTAAACTGAGTTCAAGTATTTTAAAGTCCATATTTTCATCTTCAAAAAGCATAACAAAGAGTAAAGACATATTACAGCTAATGAAGAAAACCATAAAACAATTTTCTCCACCTCTATAGACCATCCACAAAAGACATAACATACCACAACATAAAACACAAGGTGTGGATTATCTTCAAATCCTATTTTGTCTTTTTAATTTTTATCTGCTACTTTAAAAGACAGAAAGCATCAAAATCTCTAAAAAGAAATAGAATGGAAAATCTTAATAGTTCCCAATATATAGAAATGAAGGCCATGTTTAAGTTTTCATAGTGAAACAATGTACACTATGTTTAATTCATCTTTTCATTCCATACTAATGAAAGATGTTGGGTGCAGTGTCTCATACTTATAATTCCAGCTACTCAGGAGTCTAGAGATAGGGAAGTCAAGGTTTGAAACCAGTCTCAGTAAAAAGTTAGTGAGAAACCCCCAACCTCAGCCAATTGGGCATGGGGTGCTCTGCCTGTGAACCCAGCAAAGTAGGAGGCAGAGAGGAGGATCATGGCTTGACACTGGCCCAGGCAAAAGCACACGACCCTATCTGATAAGTGACTAAAGTGAAGAGATCTGGAGGTGTGGCTCAATTGGTAGAGTACCTGCCTAACAAGTGTGAGTACTGGAGTTCAAACTCCAGTACCACCAAAAAAACGAACATAAGATCCTAGAACAATGAGCTTTTTTATTACTGTTTTGTGCTTATAAAGTGAACATATATCACTGTGTGCATTATAAAGAAAAGGAGTTTATTTAGCTCACAGTTTTAGAGATGTAAAGTTCAAGGTCAGGCAGCCTAGATCCTTCTAGGCTCCAGTAAGGGCTCTCCAGGCTTTGTCATCACCTGGCAGAGAAGTGAGAAAGAAATAAAAAGTGAAACAGTCATATGCAGAAAGGGCCAAGCCAGTAGGATGGACTTGAGTTATAATGGCCCACTCTTGCAGTACCAGCCTAGTCCTAGGAGAGCAAGAGCACCTGCTGACAGCACTCATCTAGGCCCATCTCTGGAGGTTTCACCATGGCCCAAAACCTCCACACTGGGGACCATGGTTATAGCACATGCACCTTTGGGGACTCAAGCCAGATCCAACCAGAGCAGTTCTCAGAGCAGGGGAGTATGGGAAAAGACCCAGGTTGAGAAGGTTTATAATGTGATTCTAAGAAATGTAAGATTGAATACAAAAAAAAATATATATATATACACATTTGGGATGGTGCAGAACAGGAGTTAGAAGACCTGAGGAATAATGAGTCCCCTACTTCACACACTCATGACAGCTTTCCCTACTGACTGCTCCCTGAATTTACTTAATCTCAAAGCTATCTTAAGACAACCGCTTATATACTATAAAGCTGAGAGGAGAAAATGTTTCTGTGTTAAACAAAGTCACTACCAATGACCTAATGCCATTTCTGCACATATTCTGTCTTTTTAGTAGAGACTCTTTCTGGGAAACAAAATAAAAAATTCAAAAATGCATTCAGGAGGAAGGAAATGAATTTTTCTACAGAATGTCTATGCCATGTTTAGTTGAGTCACTATGTCGGGCCAATTTACAGGACAGACCAGATGTAATGTGTGGTTCTGACTGGATACTTGTTGCACCAACATGTACTAAGTGACATTTTGGATAAAACTGGTGACATTTGAGTTATTAGATAAAAATGCTATGAATTTTATTAACTATGTTGACTTTATTTTAGGTGTGCTCTTATTTTCTGATGCATAACAAAGTATAATTTCATTTTTTAATGTTTTTATTAGTATACATAAAATTATTTGGTGTATATTGGTGTATGATAGTTATACAGTGGTTTCATCATGACATTTCCATAAATACATACATTGTAACTGGTTGGTTCTTCCCCTCCACTATTCTTCCTTTTCCCCCACTCTCCTGATTAGGGTGACTTCAACAAGACAAGTTTTAATGTCACATGTTCATACATGTATAGAAAGTACATCAACCATATTCACCCTCCTTTACCCTCCCCCTCCTGCTATTACCCTCCCTTTAACATGACCCATTTTACATTCCTATCCTTCATTGTTTAAGGGTCTATTCATTGTTCAGTGGACTTTTGCATTGGTATTTTACCTGTAAATATGTTGTACTTTAATCAGTCTAACCCCCTCTATTACTCTTCCTTACCCTTTTTTCCCTACTCTGTATTGTGCAGCGGTTTTCAGTGCATTTCATTGTGTCTGGTTCCTGAAAAGATGTGATGTATTTCAATATTATTCACTGTCTATCATTCTTTTCTTCTTTTCCTCCTCCCTTAGTCTCCCTAACATTCCCACTTTTGGAAACATACTTTATATATATAGAATATTTTATATATATATATATATATATATAAAATAATATTTATGTATATATTCCATACATGTGTATGTGTGTATGTATGTGTATATGACTCTGCATGCCTCTTACAAAGCTAACATATCATTCATGAGCTGCCTGGGCTCTGAAGCATATCCACCGAGATACCCAGAAGTTTCTTATTAAGCAGCTGCAAGGACCTCCTTCACAGGCCATGCTAGGCTAGCTAGGAGAACTGGAAAAGTTAAAATATTTTCTTTCTGACCTAACCTTTTAAACTATTTTTTTTAAATGCATTTGATATTGTCAGAGTCAAATGTTGGGCCAAGGAGTCCCCAAAAACATTGCTTCACAATTAGTGCCCTGACAGTCAGCATTCTTGCTCCAGGCATGAGTCCTTTTAACAGAAGTGGCCCAAGAAAGGAAAGATGTAACTGGAGAACTTCTTAGTGCACTTGGCACATTCCACTTGGTTTTATTTTGTTTTCTTTTTGTTTGAGACAGGATCTCATTATGTAGCCCAGGCTACTAGCATCAAATTCATGATCCCACCTCACCCTCTCAAGTGCTGGGATTACAGGCATGAACCACAATGCCTGATGTACTACACTTTTTTAAATATAAATTTTAAGAAAGAAGAATTAACCTCAGTCTCCTATACATGCTCTCCAAATTTATTTGTTTAGAGATGTCACCTTATTGCCAAAAAAAAAGGAAAATTAGATGGATGGAAAATAACTGTCATAGCAAAGAGAAATCAGAAACAGGAAATGTGACCGATATTCTTAAATTACCTTATGTTTGATACATGTTACCTGATAGACACAGAAATCTTTTAGTAAAGGATATTTTGTTAATATTTCTATAGGTTATATTTACATGGTCCAGTAATGAAATAACATTTTACATTTAAAGCAATGTTTATATCAAGTTATGTTTTCCTTTAATAGCTGGTGGGAGGGGAATCTGAAAATAAATTTAAAATCTGTGTTTTAGGTAAGATTTTTCTTGGAAAAAAAAGTTTTAATGCAATTTAAAGGAGATTCCAAATTCAAGGAGAGTCTACACAGTGTGTGTGTCTCAGCTCAGGCTTGATGCCCTCTCTTTCTCCACATCCTACCCCACCCTTTCTCATTCTTAAAATTCTTACTACTACATTTCTAATTCCCATCATTCATCATCCAGCCCTTAACAACAATCTATTCATGAGAAAAATGGTAGAAACACAAATCACTCAAAAGTTCTATGGAGCATTATGATCATTAAAAATACTAAAAGAAAACATAAAATGGCCTTGTCAGAGAAAAGGAAGGAAGAAAAGAAAAGGCAAGAAATAGGAGCACATTCCACAAGGAAAGCTCAAAAGTTATTTCAGTGACATACTTAATCCTTACAAAAATTATAAAATAGGTATTATTATTCCCAAATACAAGTAATTCCTCCCCTAGTGTTCAGAAACATTATCGCACTACCAGAGCTGGGGCATGTGACCCAGAAGGAGCCCCACATAATCTCAGGTTGGATCCCAGTGATGATGTCTAGCATTGATCATCTGACCTAAGATGTCCAATAAAATGGAATTACAGGGTATTTAAAATATGAGCAAGAAAAAAAAAATCACATATGGATTTTAACAACCTGAAAACATTCATTATGTTTATTCATTCGTTTACTATTTCAGTACCTATCTATTGTTTGACAATGCACTGGGTACTGAACAAACTGGAAAATGAACCCCATGGGAAAGGATGAAAACTGCTCCCAAAGAGGGTTACAAAAGGTCATACATGGCTATAATGTTGTGATTTCTCTTAATAGCAGAGGAGCAATTAATAGTGGGGGAGGGGGAGAACCTCCACCCATAAGAAAATAACTCTATTATTATGCAGCAATTTGCCTCAGTTCCACAGCTCTGGCCTTATTGTATTTCTGATCTCTTTTTCACTTCATCTATATGCCTAATTCACCATTCATTTTATTAAAAGAAAACATCTTTCAAAAACTTTTTTTGAATTCCAAAAAATTTGACAAATACCTTTAATTTCCACCTCCTTATGTATTTCTCACAGCCACTGAATGAGGTTTTGTTTCTCATGGGTTAAGAAGAAAAACTGAGATCTGTTCAATTTAACTAATTTATTTGAGCAATGAACATATTCTAAAACCAGGCAGTATTCCACACTAAAGATGATTCAATGCGAGTTACTTTTATAACCAGGAAGACAGGAAATAACATACAGAGATTCCCTGAATGATGGAGTCTAGCTGTTGCCTTA